ACCCCTGCATCACAAATATTCTCTTGATTGATAAACAAATTCTCCTCATCAGCACCTTAGGAAATGTTTGGAAAACAGTATTGAGAATATGCATACTGATGTTAGGGTGAAGAGAGTTAAAGGTTATAACAATAACCGAAAATTATGTTAATCATTAATGTCAAATAAATTAGACTAAGTGAAATTAGATTTGAGGATAGTAAACACATATCTTTCTCCTTGGTAGGTGTTTCTGGTGTATTTTTACGCTGGTTTGAAGAAAATTGACATGGATTGGATGACTGGGTATTCTATGACAGGTCTCTCACGCCAATGGGTGTTTGATCCATTCCGTTCTTTCCTTGACAATGAAGCTATTGACCTTTACCTTGTCCATCTTGGAGGACTGTTCTTTGACTTGTTCGAAGGCTTTCTTCTAATTTTTGACAAGACACGCCCCATTGGAATCTTCTTTGGAGCCATGTTCCATGGAATGAACTCTCAGATGTTTCACATTGGTATGTTTCCATACACCATGTTAGCCACTTTGTTCTTGTTTTGTGCTTATGACTGGCCCAAGAAGCTCTTTTCGTGCATGCCCACCTTCATGAACATTATTTTACCTTCAAAAGAAGAACCTCAAGTTAGTGCACATTGTGTGTATCAGGAATCAGTCGAAGGTACAGCAAATGGCAAAGAACAAAGCAGTGAACAGAAGCCTTCAAAGAAAAGTAAAACGGCAACATTTAAACAGAAGGTGTTTGTGCTCATCACTCTTGTTTATATTGGAGTCCAGCTCTTTCTTCCATATTCACACTTTGTTACAAAGGTAAGGAAAAATACGCGTTAGCATTGTTGTTATGCGACTTTTCAACCCTTTCACCCCCAGTTGTGATCACCAAGGAATTTCTCCTTACAATATCCATACAATTTCAAGTAAAAAGGTAACAAGAAGATAGAATAACATCAGCAAGGAGATATTGCACGATTTGACTTCTAATACTCAGAACTAGAATCACATGCAACATATGGAGATGTTGTAGAGAATTCATATGTAGATCTTGGGAGTTAAAGACCTAAATGAGAGAGACCTTGAATAGTATTTTTTATGTACTGATCACCAGTTTTTGACGAATTAGCCAATCGGTTTTTTCAGTTTAACCCTTTAACTCCTAGAAGTGATTAACAGGAAACTTCTCCCCATAATATCCACACATTATTCTGCAAACAGGCAATGAGAATATTCAAACTTATCAGATAGAAGCTGCTATCTTGATCTAGCACCAAGTTCTCATAACTAATTTATAAGTAAATGTTTAGCAGCTACAGGAGAGAATTAACAATCAGATCTTGGGAGTTAAAGGGTTAAATAAAGCATTTATTATTATTATTATTATTATTATTATTATTATTGAATATGAAGGCGATCTTGAATACTACCTAAGCAGAAGTGAAAATAAGCACTCATGCAGTGCTCTACCAACTGAGCTGATGCTTTGTTACTGCGCAAGTGGTGTTCATTACTGCAAAGATCACTTTCCTATTCACTTCTTTATCCACAGGTCACATATATGATTTTCATATATTCATTGTCATTTGTTAGAGACCTTGCGAGCCATTTTATAAAAGTGCCAACTCTTACTTATTTTATTTCACATCATTTGATGTCAGGGTTACAATGCATGGACCCAGGGACTGTATGGATATTCATGGGACATGATGGTACATTCCTGGAGCACTCAACATGTCAGGGTCAAAGTAGTGGACCAGGTGTCTGGAGAGGTCACCTATATAAGGCCCTCGGTAAGAATCCCAGTTTTAAAATCCTATTATAATTTTGATCATTTAAAACATATCTTAAGTGAAACCTCATTATTATGATAGTAATCGTGAGCGTGATCGTGACAACGACAATGATCGTAATTGGGGTGACCGTGACCGTGGGTGTGATCGTGACGGTGACCGTGACCGTGGTCGTTAACGTCATCGTCATTACTTTTTGTTGTTTGTAGGCGTGGTTAAGGGAACAGCGCCAGTCACGCTGGAACTCACACCCAGACATGATCAAACAATACATGACATGTATGACTGAGAAACTGACGGCTCACCAAGATCTGAACATCACCAAACCTGCTATTTATCTGGACGTGTGGCGCTCAATGAACAGACGCTTCCAACAGCGTATGGTGGATCCAAACGTGGACATGGTCACGGCACCGTGGTCACCGTTTAAACAGACGCCCTGGATACAGCCCCTGCTGACTGAACTATCTCCATGGCGGGAGAAGTTGGTTCAGATCAGGAAAGAGCTGAAGGAAAAGTCAAACTTCAGTGAAATTACCTTTGTGGCGGACTTTCCTGGTCTTCTATTGGAGAATTTTGTGGACGAGGAGCTGAACACATCATTGACTCTGCTGCACGGTAAATTCTCAAAACGTCTTGAAAGTAATCCGGTTTGCATTTGTTTTGTGTAACCTCTCCTCCCACCTCACAATAAGTCCAGGAAACTAGCGCCAACTTATCAACCAATCACACGTAGACTAGAACCAGTCACGTGTCAGCCATTGAGGTTTTTCCCGCGCTTCAGCCAGTTCGCTCATTTCCATGAACAGTCCAATTTAGTAAATTTACGTGCGCGAATTTTGCGTCATAGCGGCTCTGTCTTATTTCACTAGAACTTTTGCGCGGGAAATTTGCAAGCGGCCGGCCAAATTGACCCATTTGCGCATGCCTTACGCTCGACTTCTGTATTTGTACATCCAGCCGTGGCATCGAAAGAAATGCGGGCGCACAAACCCAACGCGGTCAGATACTGAATCGATTTCCACTTTCTTTTAAGGTCAAGTAAAGGTGGAGTTTAACAAAACAAACCATACAGTGGAAGTAGGCGGAGAGATCTCCATTCCGTCCAATGACACACACGTGGTATACACAGTGTCCGAAACGCCCTCGTGTTGGATGTACATATTCACTAACACGACCGAGTGGAACAACGAGACTTTAAGGAACTGGATTCTACATCCGGGTAAGTTGCTATCCAGGCTGGGAAAATTTTCAACTCTCCGGGCCACTTCTCTCATTTGTTGATTTTTCACCTTTTTTTTTCCTCTGACAGAAACGTCTCCTTCCCAGCAGAAGAAAATGGCTCTCAAAAACTTAACCGTGTTGGAAAACTTTCGATTATTTACTTTAGACAAGTTCTTCGTCTTTCGTCAGACCTTTTTGAATACGTATTATGCTCTGGTCCATTTGACTTTTGGGATCGAGTCCGAGTATTATGACGAAGAGGATGACGGGAATTCAAGCGAGCAGGAGACTGGGCATAAAGGAGATCAGGACGAGACTCCATCCAAGGATGATGACACAAGTTATGTGGGGGACAGTGGAGAACCACATGATCAAGGAGCCGAACACAAAGAGAGTTCACAAAGAAAAGAACAGCAGAAACAAGAGTTATGAAATATTTGCTTTAGACTTTTGGTTTTTTAGATTTTGGTTTTACGTTTGAAATGAGTTAAGACAGAAGCAAGTAACTTCATATGCTTCTGTTTATTTTAACAGTTAGCTTAAAGAGGGATAAATTAGTTAACCATATCCATAAACATGATCAAAATCTAGTTTTGGAGAGGATAAAATGTTCTGAGGTAGTTTTCTTTGAATGTTTTTCTTTGAATTCAGAAATTTTCCCTTGAATTGATTCCTCTCTGAGGTTTTGGTTGATTTTGTTGGTAACCAGTTTACTTTCTCTTGGGGAACATGAAAATATATTTTGATTGTAATGCCTTTTTGATCTAGTCTCGTTTCCCTATATTTGATTTTGTTTGTTAGCAAGACATGTTCTCTAGAAGTTTCATTTTTAACTGAAGCCCTCCAAGGAACATATCTTTTCTTGTTGTCAAATTGTTTCAAATTTCGCAGATTTTCCATTGGTCCGCCAAAATCCCCTTAAAAAAATGTCTTGCCCTTTATTGTGAGCGAAGGTACTCTGTTTGCAGTGCCAGTGGTACAATGTAGAAAGTCAGCCTTGTAACTTAGGTGCATGCAGTTCGTTCTTATGGGAAATGGTTGCCAGTTCTAGGCGTTTAGTTAGTCGGCGGTGCTTTAAATAAGTTCATTCTACCTCAATCCTTCATTAATTTTGTGCGCTTCATTTACGAACTGAAAGACTCGCAGTTGGCCCAAGATCAATTACAAGAAACGAACGTGTAATGAGCTTGGGCTGCCTGTGAACGACTGAAACAGGCGGGAGACGGTCATTTGTTTCTAATCGACCAGGTAGTCCCTAAAAAAACTTATCAATTTATGTTTTAAAATCTAGCATCTGAGTAAAGAGTGGAAAGTATGTTCAGTGAGTGCGATTTCGCGACAGCTGCCATGCGTCAAAAACCTTTAACCATCAGTAAAGTTTGTGGGTCTCAAACAATTTTCTTTTTTCTCCTCCAGCCCCTTTCCCCCTATGCTTGCTACGTCCTTCATTCCACACATCCGCCTGATCCCTCTCGACTCGTCTATTGCTTCATCCGCTTTTTACCCGCAATTTCCTCCAGATTTTAGTATTATAGGGCATTGCGTGACCCTTATTCGTGTCACGGAGCTTACGTAATTAATGCTTTGCGTAGCTGAGGGGTCTAGGCGGTTCTCACTTAATTTTTGCGACCACCATGGGTCACAAAGAGAGCGACAATGATTCGGCTGCAACTGTAGATAAAGAAGACACGCTAGAGAAGAACAGTTTAGTAAGAATAGTCGTACTTGTAAATTCGTTCTTGTTCTCGTCATGTTTTTTCATGGGTAAATCTGTTTTCCCGGTAAGTATCTGTGTGAACGTTTGCAAATGTTACTTTAGCTAGGACCTTTGATCATCTGAGAAAGCCGATTCTCTTTTACACCTCTTCCCAATCAAGCGAAGAGAAATGCTTCGTGTTACAAAAACCGGAGAACGACCGCGCGCGCTTCATCGGTTGTGGTTAGTTAACTTGCGCCGGCATAATTTTGTGCATAATGACACAGTTGAAGCATCGAAAATAATGCCGGCTTTATGACGAAACTTCTTTAAAAATTCCCTCTATGTTACAGTTCAACAAGAGATAAATTCTGAAGCCTAAGTACTGTCAACAGTTAGCCAGCTTTTCATGCTGGCACT